CAAAGGATTTCATTCATCCACAGGTCCTATATCTTTGACAGAGTAGATGCCACATTGAGCCTCCCCCAACCCATTCTGTGATAATGTTACTCCACAAATGTCTTCTATATAGAATGACCACTACATACAAAGTAGGTTGTTGCCAAGTAACAGAGAATTTTTTTAATACTACATTCTACATGGATTTTTTTTCTTCACTCAAAGTAGCTCCTCTCTACCTTGTTATTAAGCAGGAACAATCTGTCTGAGAATTTCTGTGCAAATATGTGTCATTTGCAATTGTCTAACTATTACCTTTGAATAGGTTATCCAGAGTGATAAAGTGCTGGTATTAACCTTATTTGAACTTAAATCTGTTCATTAAAATACTTTTTCTGGTCTTAAATGAAATGCCTAAATAGAATTGACAACTCCCACTAGAATCTGTGAGTAGGATGCAGAACTGAACAAATTATTCCATGCCAGATCAGCAGAATTATTTCCACCTTGTCTGGACCTCTTGCTTGGCATTAGATACCTACCAATTAATCACTTTGCTTTTCTGGTTGCATGAAGCATGGGGTGAAGGGAAATAGGATGTAAAAAATAAAAGTGATTGGGAAAAAGTGCCAGATGGTTTATTATAACATAATAAGCACAAGGATGCTATTGGTTAATATCATAGCTAGACTATCACAAAGAATAACAGACCGTCCCACCTGCATTCATGTATACACACACAAACACACACACACACCAACCACAGCCCTTTTTTTTCAGAATCAGAGTAGACTATGTTACATATAAGGGTAAAGCAATCTCCTTTAGGGTGCACCATGAATGCAGATGGAGGCAAGAAGTAATGTCTGAATGTCCTGTAGGCTTTTAAAAGTGTTGACTTTGCTAATAGAGAGGGACATTTAAATTCGGCTTCAGGAAATAATATAACTTAGCTCTGAATTTACAGTGCTAAGAGTCCCAAATATTTAGAATAAGTGAAGCATGTAATAATAATGTCAAGGGGAAGGCAGAACAGGGCAGTGAAAGTCAATCAGAAAGTAAAGTATAGGGTCAGGCAACAAGCTGATTGTGTTGGAGGCAATTCATTTTGATAGTGACAGTTGGTAGATTTTATTTAATTGAGTTTTTATACACAGAATACTATAGTTTTCTTAAAAGTAAAAAGTTATTAAAAGTCTTATTTTGAAACTTTTTAAAATGCGTATTCCAAAAACGTCTTTAAAAAAGCATATCTTATTTTGAACCCATCACCAGTTGTAATATATTTTTATCTAGTTCATTTTTATTTAATTTATTTTAATGTACTTTTATCTGGAATTCTTATCTATGACCATAAAAACTATTATTTTAATAAAAACTCATAATCTTTTGCATGTATACAAAAGCAAAGTGTGGCATCATATTTAGTTCTGAACAGAAGTTCTGAGCTCGCTCTCCTATCCTAATTTAGTAAAGGCAACATAATTTTCATAGTTGTGCAATGTTTGGTCCAAGAGTTAACTTTTCTTTCTTTCTTTCTTTCTTTCTTTCTTTCTTTCTTTCTTTCTTTCTTTCTTTCTTTCTTTCTTTCTTTCTTTCTTTCTTTCTTTCTTTCTTTCTTTCTTTCCTTTCTTTCTTTCTTTCTTTCTTTCTTTCTTTCTTTCTTTCTTTCTTTCTTTCTTTCTTTCTTTCATACTATTGTATGTACACTTTTCATCCTGAAGTTACAATGCCATTAGTTATTACACCTTGTTGATAAGAGAAGAGGGTTCATTCTGAAGACAAGCTTAAATCCCTATGCAGAAACCTGAATCCCTATCCAGAAAGAAAAATAAAGGTGTACCTTGAGATTTCCTTCAACATCTTCAAATGCCTTCTTGCCTTTTACTAGCACTTGCATTTCTAGTTTAGCTGTCCGTATACTCCATAGGTTCAGCTACATACTATATTATGAGTATAGTAAACCCCAGTGTTCCTCATTCTGTATTTCAACCAGACAAACTCCAGCCAGGACAGTAATTGACACATCTGGAGGGCAATAGATTGGAGAGGTTATTGGGGAGGGGGAAAACAGAATAGGGTCTGAGCCATGGAAAATTATGCTGTGATGGATATCACCTTGAGAACATTGATCTGGGCAGCTGCTGGTATGGAGTAGCAAAAGTTCATACTAAGAATCCATAGGGAAGGAAATTTAAAAATGTCACTGTCACCATGCATGAAATCTATGGAATAAGTGTAGAAGAAGTCAGCCAAATGATCAAAGAACGAGAGTAACCTCCCATGGAAGGAAAGTAGCAATACAGTGGTTGTGTATCTACATGCAGTAAATACAGGAAAAAAACAGTCAATATAAGATGACATAGAGCAAGAAAATAGATATTTTTGATTTTGTTTTCTTTTCAAAGTAGTAATGCTTTTAAGTTGTTGAGATATTTAGGACATTATTAATATGAATTAAATTAGAACATTATCTATTGTGAGCTTTATGTTGTCTACTAGTTTGATTGGTGTCAAAGAAGGAATTTGGATAATTACATGGAGGCCAAGGTTATACATTAATTCTAGCTACCAGGACATTGTTGGGGAGAGTACTCCTGTTTTCATGTCCTATTTGTCTGTCATTTGTACTGCCTGGTTTGGTACAGCAATGAAACAAGACAGGTATAGACTTCAATGGATAGAAAAACTATTGCAACCAGCCTGCCTTTCATTGAAGACCTGTATACTGCACAGGTCAGAAAGAAGGCTGAGAAAATATCTACAGACCCCTCACATTCTGGACATAAATTGTTTCAATTCTTCCCCTCAGGATGCTGCTACAGAGTGTTGCATGCCAAAACAATCAGACACAGAGACAGTTTTTTTTCCGCATGCCATCACTCTGTTGAACACTTAATTTCCACAGTTCTGTCTTATGTCTAAATATATTACCCATGTAGTATGACTATATTATTTTTATCCTCATCTGTTCCACTACCTTCTCTACTGGTGTCATTATTATGATTATTATCCTTTGTTATTATGATTATTATTACTTAATTGTTTTGAAAGTACACTGACAAATTTCTTGTGTGTCTAATCACACTTGTCCAATAAAGTGTTCTATTCTATTCTACTTCTAGCTTTCACTAGGCATCTAGTTGGTATATGCATTTTGTTCTGGTTGATTTTTAAAAAAAATCTTACCTGTATAATGTGGAGAGGGGGATTTGTGTGTGTTACATTTTACTCAAGGCTGTGTTCTGTTATCAATTCAGTGCCCCAAAGCACAAATCAGAATATTAGTCTTCTCCAAGATTCCTGAACTTCTTCCAGGCTACTTTTCCAAAATGAAAACTGTCTAGCAGCTTCTGACAGAGGCATGAAGAGTCTGCCTCCTCATTTGAGAATTTTTTTAAAAAATTCAATCTGCTTTGATACTTTTCCAAGCATGGGGGCCAGAAAAATCTGCTCCTCAAATTCCCCCTCCTTAAAAGAAGTTTTGTGTATATAACACTTCCTATCATTGTTACGAAACACAAAATTACCAATATTATGAAAAGATCCAGCAAGCGATGCTGAATGCTGGATTTAAAATGAAACACTGAAATTCTAGTTCAAATGTGCTTTAGAAGGATTGCACAGAGGTGTTCATATACCTCTAAAGAAAGGTTTACTTTAATGTGATGCTATGTAGGCTGCAACCCGTATAGATGGATTTTCTGAGCCAATTCATCTTTCTATGTAGCTACCTACCTACCTTTTTTTTTAAAGTAGAAGTATATATCCTGATGCTGAAGGGTCACTTATAACATTCAAAGACTTGGAGATATCCCATGGAGATCCTAGTAGGTATAGCCATTTTTCAGGTGACAGAAGGGAGAAATTATTACGTTTATGGGGAGTAAACATATTAAAGTAAAATCACCCTCGAGTCAAACTCAATTTTTGATGACTGCTTCCATGCTGTTTTACTGGCAGTAATATAAAAGTAGTTTGCCCTTGCCTTCAGCTCTGATATGTGTTGTACATTAGATAAGTGATTTGCCATTGCCTTTTTCTGAGGTTTTTTTTTTAAAAAAACCTTCCAATCTATTCTTCAGCCCAGGAATTTTGTGATATGTATTAATCTGGTCTGACCTTGCTTAGCGTTCAGATCACCCATCTTCAGCTAAGTGTTGCCACTTAGCTGAGCATTAATGTTATTTCTATTTAATTACTTTTATATTCTCCTAAAAGCCAATTAAAGCTTATTTAATTTCAGTTGGACTCCACCCATTCCTTTCTGCTGCTTTTACAGTGTGGCCCCTGGTGTACAATACAAGAGATGATGGCAGCCCTGAGCCCTCAAAACTTGTTCAGTTGCTTTAAAAGAAAAGTAATGCTTGAAAGAATGACCAGGAATATATTTCCTTAGAGTTTGTCATGCCACAAAATGAGTTCTACTCTAAAAGCCTCCCCTCCCCTCTGCTTTTCTCTTGAGAATTGTAATATAAAGGGAGGGGCAGTTTGGTCTAGTGGTTAAGGCATCGTGCTAGAAACCAGGAGTCTTGTGAGCTCTAGTCTTGCCTTTCAGCCCAATCCACCTCACTGGGTTGTTTTTGTGAGGGGGAAAAAGAGGAGGAAGGAATATTAGTTATGTTTGCCACCTTGAGCTATCTATAAAGTAATAAAGGTGGGATAAACAATAAATAATAAAGATGCACAGACACTACTTTACCCTGCTCAAAAGAATAAACATAAAAACATGATTCTATGTAACCCTTTAAAAGAAAACTGCAAAGATGAATTCTGGATTCCTGAGAATTGTTTATTAATTCCATTTAAGGGCCACCCATTTCTCCAAGAAAACTCTGGGAGGCAAACAATGTCAAAACAAGATATTCCACTAAAGCCTAAGAAAGCAAACTGAGTTCATTAAAAGCACAAAACCACTTAACGTTATGTTCTCTCTTGAAATGTATGGGTTTGTATGTGTATAGCTCTATGTGTCCATGCCTGTGAATCCTCATTCTAATGCTTGCTTGCTTTCCTCACAGAATCTGATGTTGCAGATTTTGATGGGAGGAGTTCCCTCCTCTACAGATTCAACCAAAAGCTGATGAGCACCTTCAAAGACGTGGTTTCTCTGAAGTTCAAGAGCATGCAGGGAGATGGGGTCCTGTTTCATGGCGAAGGACAGCATGGAGATTATATTACCCTGGAGCTGCAAAATGGGAAACTTTCCTTGCACATCAACCTGGGTTTGTCCAAACATTTCAACTTATCTTGCATAAAGTTTTTTCCTGCTCTTAGCTCTTTTCTGACCTTTCTCCACTGTGTTGAAGGGCTGTCTGCCCATCTGAGAGTCAGCAGGAAAGTATGCAGGCATGACAGTTGCTTTTACATCTTAGAAGATAGAATAAGGAGGACTGCATGATTTTAACATCAGTCATAACATAGTTATTCCAAGAAGCACTAATGAGAGAGAGAAATAAATAAGGCTTCTTCCCACAGCTTGGAGAGCAGGCTTTTTAGAGTTTGTGATGGGGGTGGGAGTAGGTGGTGAAGTGAAAGAGAACCCTTAGCTAACGTGTTCAACAGAAATAAGTAAAATCTGCTTCACAAATTATTCCATTTTTAATTTGAAAGGATGCTGGATCTTAAAACTGCTTTGTCAATATAAATGGAATAATTGAATTTCTAATTATCTGCCCATCTTATTTAGTCATGATGTGAAACATACCAACTGACTATACAGTATTGGCCAAAATTGTGGAAACCCTTTGGGGAAAGTGTATTTTTGAGGTTTAATGGCTAATAACACCACTTTTTTAGGGAGTAGTACCATAAAATTATATATCAATGGAAAGATAATTTAATCAAGAATGTAATGCAACAAAGTTTGTTCAATTATATGTACTGTATTCTATGAAAAGTTATAGCCAAATAACCAGAAAAAGGAAGCACAACTTACTTAGGTTGATATCAGGTAGCTTTCCTTCATCTGATTGTAGCCAATGAAAATGAGTGTTTAGAGAGCCAATCAGGTGTTATCTTGTTTTGGCAATGAGCCAATCAGATCACAGTAGGGTTCAGTTATTGATGTCATGTATTGAAGCTGAGAGGAGGACATTTGTCAGTGTGTTATGTGATCACTATCAAGTTGGTTGGGTTTTTTTTCTCTTTCATTTAGTGAGCTTGTAAAACGTAATAAAATTAAAGTAATGGTGCAAAGAGTTGACTGGTTGCCCAGAAAGCGATGTAAAATAGTATTATTAAGTGAGCAAGGCTACAGTTATAAAGAAATTAGAAGAAAAATTGGTGGAAACTTAACCAAAGGTGGCATTTCTACTGTACACTTTTCCCAAAAGCTTTCCACAATTTTGGCCACTACTGTACCTGTAATTCTGTACTTGTTAATCTGAAAACAAAATCTTAGTTCTACCAGTACATATTGTAATACTTCAACCTTTAAATGTAATATCCTTGCTAGAGACTTCCTCCCTGTCCTAATAAAATTACTAAGTATTGTATAGAGCAGTGGGAGTTGAAATCCACCCATCTTAAAATTGTCAAGGTTGAAAAAGGCTGATATAGAGTGTGAAAAAGATATTCTAGTTCTCAACCAGCTGTTATAATGATAGGGTATATGTTATATTAACCACACAGAATCCATGCAAAGTTGGATATTTATAGCCAGAAAGTTATTTCTGAAGTGACCCTGTGTCTTGAATGAGAGATATTGCATCTGTCACTTATTTTTTCTTTCTCTGTGTGTTTCTTATACAAAAGCAAAGACAGCCACAAACACAAACATATACAGTATAAACTTGTATTTTGTTCTGACTATGGGCTGCCCGAATCACCACTGAAACCAGTGAAGTCTTTGCTTTAATTCTCTGAGTATTAATAATTAAAGTATTATTGTCTCTGTGAGTGTTTTTTGCATGAAGATATGCATTGGCTTGAAAATACAAGTAGCAAGGTGTGTGATCAAATTTGCATTCTCAGATCACCTTCTATTCAGTCCATCCCTAAGTATATTTGCTCAAAAATGGGTGTGTTTGATTTATTTTTGAGATTGATAACGCATAATTACATCCATGGTACTAAAGATTCTGAAACACTGAATTGCTATTTACCACCCAATGCAATATGTATTTGTCTAAAAGAAAATCCTTTTCATTGCAGTGAGGTACACTTGCAGAAGTCTGAGAAGGAAATAAATGAAAGGTGCTTGAAAATGTCTCCGATTTTTTTTCAGGCTGCTTTCTGTCTGAAAATCTACATTGGGGAGAAAAAGCTTGGGAGCAATAATCTCTTAAGGTTTACATATTTGAAGAGATTTGTAGAAAATCTGTAGGAGAATTATAGGGTGATATATTGTTTCAGAGGCCCTAAAGAATGAGTAGCAAAAATCCTTACAGTTTGTTTTTGAAGATAGAAAGTGAAGAGAAACAAAGGCTGCCTATTTTTACTATTGCTTTGGTAGAAACAAAACTTAAGGCAAGATGATTCAAAGTAAACCTCATACCCTGAGCATAGGAATGGTAACTTGAAGTATCTCTATACTTATATTAAAGTTGTGCTGTGGTTGGGAATCTGATTTGAAAGAGAGACTTTGTAACGCATAGGAGCATAAACACAATATTTGTGCACCTGTCTGGGTTTCATCACAATAGATGCAACATTTTCCAGGATTATTTGATTTCTGAGTGTTTCTGTGTGGCTATTTTACTGAGGTGTGAAAAGATGTTGTATTCACCCTCATTCCAAAAAACCACTTCTGAGCAGAATCCAAAGCATTGTAGAGCCCTAATCTATATTTTTACCTATGTATATGTATCTATATTTCAAGTTTCAAGTTCCCATTCTTTGCATAGCAGCCAATTCTTCTTTATATTTTAAGTGGGCTGGAAGTCAGTAATAACAAACAGAGGTTTTCGTGCTGTGGCTAATGCTAAATCCTTAGGATTAAGTGGAGAGGTTAAAAGCATCACACTTAAAGGCTGCCTTCAAAACAGTAAGGCAGCTAGGCTTCTCACTAGTACGACTAATGCAGTCTGCAAAAAAACTAATGATGTTTGTGGTTAACATAGATTGGATCATTTCACTCCAGTCTGACTTTGCTTTTTCAATTTTTTTCTTTAAAATAACTGTGTACAAAACCCATCTGGCTGGCAAGATTCTAGTATCTAATTTCTGCTGTCTCAGATGACCTTGGTCCATTAATCTTAGGCCAGTTTTGAAGTTGAAGAATGAAGTGAAATGGAGACTATAAGGAGGTGGTTGGTAGTTGGGGGCTTTTAGACACTGTGATGATTTGTCGTCCTTCCCAGGTAAACAAGATGGGAAACACAACTAGATAAACAAATTCTACTGTATTGTAAGGCTATGTTAAATTTTGCAAATCTGAAGTTATTATCTTCCCATCGTCACTTTTAACTGCTTGATCCATTAGGTGGCTTCTTCCTAAGTTTCTTCCTCTGACCGTTAAGCCACTAGGGGCTCCTCCCTGTCTTGTCTGATTGTTTCCTAGGCAGTGTCTCATCCCCAGTTTCCCAAGTTCATCCACGCTTTCCATTACATGATTGCAGAAGATGGACTAGAAACTTTACTTGTTTAAGATTTACTTGTTTTCTTCAGATCTGCTAGGCTTGGATTAACTCAACAGGCATCTTTTCTCCAAAAGAATTTCCTGCTAAGTCCCCCCCCCCCATCTTCTCTAAACCTCATTGCTTCTTTGTGCAGGGAGAATCTGTCTCTCTAGATTCAGAAAAATATGGAAAGTGGCATCCACAACATGGTCAAAATGATGAAAGCAACATTGAACCACAGGCTCCACTCTTTGGGGTATGCATGGGACGATGTAATAAGAGCAGAAAAGGTGCAGAGCTTTCAGCATGATAAAGGCTGCCTTCCTGTGTTCCTCAGTGGCAGGGCTCCATGCTTCTATATAGTGGAGAAGAACAGCTGCGGTCCTTCACTTTCCTAGATAAAATGGACCTCTGCATCTATATAGGGTAGAACAGTGATGGCGAACCTTTTAGAGACCGAGTGCCCAAACTGCAACCCAAAACCCACTTATGCATCGTTGAGGGCCGGGTGGGTGTAGCCCATTAGGTGGGTGTGGCCAATTGGGTGGGTGTGGCCCATTGAGTGGGCGTGGCTGCAGTGGTAACAGCAGACTGGGTGGGACTAAAAAGTTCAATCAATCAATTCCAACTTTGCAAGATCTTTTTTTTTCCTGGGAGAAGTTGAAATTGACTGATTGATTGAACCTTTTTTTTGTACACGGCGGCGGAGGCCTAAAGCGAAAAGGTTTTATAAAACCCAGCTGAAGGCCTAGGACTGGGGCGACGGCGCCCGTGCCCACAGAGAGGGCTCTGAGTGCCGCCTGTGGCACCCGTGCCATAGGTTCGCCACCACTGGGGTAGAATGTTCCTCCAGGTAAAGGAAGTGCTGGAAAGCATGCTTTATGGTGTGTCAGGTGCCTTTTTGAACAAAAGTGCCCTGCTCCTCTGCCTTAATAACTCACAATGAGTCACCATCTCAATACTGCTGAGGTCAAATCCATCCCCATGTCACACAGTCTTATAGGACAGGAGCGCAGCAGATCAACAAGTTCAGATGAGGACACTGACGTTGCCAGTTTAGGAAATCTTTCGTCATTTAGCCTTTTTTAAAGATACTTTTTCTGGTATGTCCCAGTTCTTTTGTATGTTTCAAATATTTAGTTTACAGGTTTTGTTGTTCTTCTGCATGATAGACCATCTGATTTTTAATTTCTTAATTTAATCTTAATCTATATTAATCTTAATTTAATTTCCCTGTTTTGTGCAAGGTGTCTTAGCTAAATATGTGTCAATGAGCTTGCCATTGGTTGGCAAGGAAAAAAAAGAATAAAAAGAAATCTAAAATATCCATATATTAGTATACTGAAATTAAAAAAAAAATCTCATAACACAAAAATATAGCATTTTCCAAGTAGGAAAAAAACCTAACCTTTTTTCTCCCCAGTCTCACTTATTTTGCATTTTTAATTCCTCCCTTTGAAACCTCTGTGAAATTACTGCTTAGTATCAAATAGAGGGGAGTCTTCTTCTGGTGACTAAAAGCATAATTTAGCATCACAAGGCGATTCTCTTCCCTTTAAAATAAATGAAGGACCTCACTTGGTTGCTATTATCAAAACATTTTTATTCTGAATTAATGAATAGGCTCCTAATGAATAGTTAGAACTGACCAAAACAGAAGTGTT